TAGGGGATACTCTGGTATCTTAACCAGGAAATCAGGAACATGTCAGCACTGGGTTACTGTAATGGTGCAGTGCTGCAGTAGAAACAAATTGGGTAGATCCCAAAGGACCACAAGTAGACCTCTGTTAAGAATTGATCTTCCCTGACTCCCTCTTTCAGTTACAGCCCACTGTGCTCCACAGAATCCTGTTCCTGAGGTCAGGACTTTCAGGATGCAATGTGGAGGTTTATATTAGGAAGGAGGAATCAGCAAGAACAACAGCTCCCTCCCACAAATGGAATTTTCTTTGATAGGACAAAACGTAGGTGCAGACCTGGTACTCTAGCAAGATTGTAAGGTTGTTGGGGTTTTTTGTTTTGTTTTGTGGTGGGCTGTCAAAGACAAGCAGGCTAGGATTTAGAACACTGTCTGAGGCCAAGCTTTAAGACTAGAACTATAACAAGCATCAATTCCTGGAGCAGGCAGGGAGTGTACTTTTAGAAAAGAAAGTTTTTCTTAGAGTGTGCTTGGACACCAAACTTAGTATTGCAGTAGGCTACTAAATTAAAGCTTAAAGGCATATTGCACATAAAAGACTCTCCCCCTCCACCCTGGCCTGTCTGAGATTTATATAGTAAGGAAGAATGTTAATTTTGTGTATACTAGCTGAGATAACTAGCTGTCTGTGGGGTCAAGGTACTGACATCAGAGGCATTTCTGAACAAAGATGTTGCAGTTGGTGGGTGGATGGCACTAGTGTCAGCTGTTGGGTGACCTCGCATAAATAGTATCATCACGACTTTAATCTTTCGGGTGTTCAGAGGTAGTGTGCATATTTCCGTTTAACCCCTGGACACTTGCCGGCATGCATGACCCTTTAACAATTCCTGTTCCTCTGTCCATCCATGGCACCTTGGCTCCAAATAGTCTAGCAGTAAAGCCAGAAGTTGTATACATCTATTGTGTATACATCCATTGTGCAAAGAACCAGAATATGGCACTTTTAATGTAACATATGAAGGACTTGGGCATATCAGAGCCTATCCTTAGTAAAGGTATTGTGAGATTTTCACGGATAGCTTGGTGAATTAAAAGCATATATTTCAGAAATATCTACAAGCTTCATGCAACTGGCAATTTTAGACCATTAATTGCATATTCTTTTGCATGGATTATGAGTGCATTACTCCATGTTCACATTCCACCATTTCTCAGAAAACTCCATGGCATGGATGCTGTTTCAGTGTGTAGAATTTACCTAGAACTGGGGAGACCTGAGCTCAAAAATCCCCACTCACGGTCTTTGGTTACCATGAGCTAGTCATTCTGTCTCAGCTTCTACTTCTTCAAAGGGTTATTAAGATAAAATGGAGTAGAGAAGAACCATGAACACTGTGCGTCTCGGAGCAAGAGTGGGATAAAAATACAATAGAAGGAAATCCTCATATTGAGGTATTGGCTAGGATCTGTTTTACCAGAGAGATAAATAAACATTGGGTGACTCCCATTCCCCAAGAAATAATCCTGTATGACCAATGCAAAACTTTAGAAAGTTTCAGAGCTTGGAAACTGGAATCTTATATAAGGGTGCCAGTGAACCAGGAAGAGTTGACTGACTCATAACGGTATGCTGTCCTTTCAGACAAATAAGGCTTTATAGAGATGGCTGAAATGTCCCACAAAGCCAGGATCTGTGTCTAATCCATCACTTTTGGAATCCACTCAGTTCAGGCATTTCATTTGCCAGGCTTGTTCCTTTGTATACCAAACATCTGTGTGGATCCAAGCATTGCCAGCACCCCCAGTGTTCTGGTGAAATTGAAGGGGTGACTGTTTTAATTTGCAAAAATAGAGGGGTGTCTTGTGGCACTTTAAAGACCAGCAAGTTTTCATTTTACCATAAGCTTTTGGGGACTTGGGGCCCACTTTGTCACATGCTTGCGACACAGTGACCCTCTAGTCCATGAAGGTTTATGCTTGAGTTAAAAAATCTTGTTAGTCCTTTAGGTGCCATAAGACTCCTGTCTATTTCTAGTAAAACCTGGTTTCTGTGCTGATGTATGTATAAAGTAAATTCTGTTCCTATACTGTAATCTTTTGGAGATGGAGGAAAATGTTAGTCTTTTGGAAACATTTTAGAATTGATTCATTTCTTCTAAAATAGATTGTGTCATGTAGCTCAGTGAACTTCAGTCTTTTCTGACTCAGGACTCAACTTTAACCTCAAGGTGCCAGCATGGAACACACTGAGCTGCAGGCACGTGATGGGAAATCATGTGGGAGCACAGCCATTTAAAGAGAATTCTGTATATTTATTTGCTTCATTTATACCGTGGCTTTTCCCCCAGTGGGGACCTGAAGCAGCTAACATTATTCTCTCTTCCTCTGTACTATCTTCAAAATCACCAGCCTGTGAGCAGTGTTCCCTCTAAGCTGAGTTAGTGTGAGCTAGCTCACAGTTTTTTAGCCTCCGGCTCACACATTTTTGTCTCGGCTCAGGAAGGAGGGCTCCAGAACACACTAATTTATGCAGTAGCCAAATCACCCGCTCACAACTTTAATGCCAGTAACTCACAAAGTAGAATTTTTGCTCACAGGACTCTACAGCTTAGAGGGAACATTGCCTGTGAGGTAGGGTAGGCTGAGAGTGTGTGAATGGCCCAAGGTTGAATAAATAAATCAAGTTGAATAAATACAAATAATAAAATAATAAGGTCACCCAGCAAGCTTCCATGGCAGAGCGAGGATTCAAACCTGAGGCCCCCAGATTCTGGTCTGACACTGTAACCATTGTACTGTGTCGGCTCTCAAGAATATGAGGAGACAGTTACAATGCTAGGGGGACAGAGGACCTCTGTGCTTGGAACGGTGTGCGTGGAGAGATAAAGGGTGACTGACGGGTGAGGGTGGCTGGGCCAGGCGGGCTGTGAGGAGGAGAAGAATCACAAGGGAGAGCTTTTGTGGGAAAGGAGGACCGTGAAGCTGTGTGGTGCAGTGGTCTGTGTCAGACTATGATCTGGAAGACCCAGGTTTGAATCCCCAGTTTGCCATGGAAGGTTGTTGGGTGACCTTGGGCCACTCAGCCTAACTTACCTCACAGGTTTGTTGTGAGGATAAAATGAAGAAGGGAAGAATGTTGTAAGCCACTGTGGGGAGAAAAGTGGAGCATAAAATTTGGTAAACAAACCTGTCTGTGCTCTCAACCACTGAGAGACCTTGCCTTGGTGTTATGTTGCTCTCTCTTCAGTGTGTGTGCAAAGAGACGCAGGAGGTATGCACCCTTCCTCTCTATTAATAGTGGGTCCTTTTGAAATGTAAAAGTAGGGAAATGGCTGCTGTATGACTGAGCAGATAGGCTGAAGATCACTGATGTAGCCAATCAAACCTGGCTAAGATGGAAAGCAAAAAGGGAGCAGATGATGGAAAATTCAGTAGATTGTAGTAAGAAGGCACAGACCCTGTCTTAATTACTAACATTAAATCCAGTCCTAAATACAGGGAAAAGATTAACCAGAATAGATTCAAAATTGTCTGGTGCAGACTTTATTTTGCATGAACACTTAAACAAGTTTAAGACATCAGGAGCAAGCCATGTGCTCCTCGCCCAGCCCACAAACTTGCCTCAGTTAGGGGTCCTGCACTGGGCAAGGGGTTGGACTAGCTGGCCTGTATGGCCCCAACTCTGATTCTGTGATCCATGTGCATGAGTAACACGAAAGGTTGCTTCCTCCTTAGGTTTATTGCATACTTAACAGAACCTGATCTAACCATGGTTGGGAAATGTAGCGTGCCACATGGGCTTGTATGTTTCTTTCCTTTCTCTTATGGAAATTCCCCCCCCCCTTTTCATTTTCAGAGCAAACCAAGGTGCAGTGTTTATCAACCACAGCATTTTCACTAATCACTGCCAGAGACTTAGAGCCAAACATCTGGCTACAGCAGTGCAAAGTGTTTGGAAATATTTATTTATATGTGTGTTTGGAGATGTTCTGTACACACACACACACACCCCAAAAAAAACCCTGTCTCCAAGAGGGTTAGGATTCTCAAGTGGCTTTGGAGGGAGATATGGGAACTTCATAGTGTGGATGGAACTCTGTGCTTGCTTCATGAATGTGGAGAGTGTTTTCTGGTTGTGCAGTGCAACCAAACGTCACTTTCTGATTCCAGTTAGTGATAAGTTTTGCAAAGTAGCTTGAACTGAAGACATCAAGTGAAAATCCTATACGGCACAATGTTCATTGGTGAAAATGAAAGGGAGGAGGGATTCATGCGTGGAAGGGGAGTAAGGAAAAGGAGAGCATGAGCTCATTGAGCTCTCCCTATTTCTTAACCAAATTTAAGAGAGGGAGTACTGTTACACTTGTGCTGTATCCAAATGGGAACCTGGTTGACAACTTACCATGATTAAAGGTCAGTATACATATATCCAGGGAGGCTTGGGCCACTTTCAGCTTTTGGGGACCCTACCCATGATACAGTTAAAAAATGATGATGCATGATGTTCATAAGAAAAAGTTGTAAACATATCAAATTAAGCCTGAAAATTAACAAGTTCCTAAGTTTGAGACGCCTACCCCTTTGAGCTTGAGGTTCAGGCCAAACAGTCTTCTGGTCCCCTCCCATTGGCCCTGCCTTCACCCTTAACCATAGTGTTTGTGTGTGAGTGTGGAGGTATTTGTACACAAGTGTTCAGGGGAGTACATAATCCTGTAGCTGCTTTCGATCTCCTAATAACACTCTCAGAAGTGTTATGTTTATTTTGGGCCAATTAATTGACAAAACAAGATTCATAGTGACGTCAGATGTAGAATTATAAGCTCACAATTTGGAATTTAAACTTTAGAGCTTTAACACTGGTACAAAGTATGTGAGCATTTTGATTTCTCTGGAGGAATAAGTGTCATGGTGAATTCTTGATCCACAATTGCATTTAATTTGTCTGATCACAATGAGACACTTGAAAATATTGTTTCACTGTAGTTCAACTTTCTAAACATCTTCTCCCTCAATTTTTACAGCAAACCCTGGCCTGTTCTATTTTAACGGCATTGTTAAGTGAGTTCTCAAGTTCAAGCAAAACCAGCAATATTGGACTTAGTATGGAGTTCCATGGTAATTGCAAACGAATATTTCAAGTAAGTCAATGACATTTGCTTGTATATCCCTAATAAGTGTTCTTAATAAGGAAAGAATAAAGTTTGAGTCCAGTGGTCAGTTGCTTCAAACCAACATGGCTACCCACCTGAATTATTAAGGAAAGAGCAGTTTTATTTACTAATGAATACATGAAACAAGCATGCATAAACCTAAGCAGTTGTTAGATTGAATATGCGTGTGTGTATAATTTAAAACAACAATGCAACTCAGTTTCAGTTTTAAAATGAATTCAGCGTCCTGAGAACTGTGAGTAAAGTGGTATTTGTGGAATAGGTCTTTTACCACCTCCCTCTTTTTGCTGCAGGGCTGTGCCCCCTGCAGCACAGATTTGGGGGAACCATATGGGATGTGGCAGACGGGATTGCTGTTTGTGTAGCAACAAAAATGGCTCCTCCCTTGTCTGAGAGGAGGTGCCTCTCTGTTCACATAATGGGGGGAGGGTTTTATTTTCAACCCCGTGAAGCTAATTTGTCATCAACAACTAGATCTAGTAAAAGCTGGTTCTTGCTTTGCTTTTTGGAGAGACATGATGAATGAACATAATGAAAAGAACCGGTGGAAAAAGCCCAAAGTGAATTAAATAACTTGCCAGCAGATATACATATTATTGTATCTAAATGGGGCCAGCTGTGTGTGAATAAATCCACTCCATAAAAGCCTAGTATTTTACTGTAGCTTTAATGGGATGCTGAGGGGGAGTGTTATTTATAAATATACTATTGCAGGTTGTATGCCTGAAATTTGGTGCTTGACTATAGTTTTACGGTTCTTCAGTTTTATAACAGCTTAGGCATAGTTGTCTATTGCACAAGTAGCTGAACAAATTTTGTATAACTTTATTGATCACTGAATAACTTAAGGGCACTAGACTGTATAAACACAGAGAGCAAAATGCTTTGTTGGTTTCCTCTTTAGCCTGACTAACCTTAGAGTGTCCCAGTGCCAGACCATTAAAATGTCTGAACTTATCCTGATTGCACAGGAGGATGATCTCCGTCAGATCTTCATGCTCACAGTAGAGGTACTACAGGAATTCAGCCGGTGTGAAAACCTTAATGCTCAGATGTCTTCAGTCTTTCAGCGTTACCTTGCACTAGCCAATCAGGTCTTAAGCTGGAATTTTCTTCCTCCAAATTATATCCTTTTTAAATGGTCTCTTTATTTTCAAGTGGGAAAGACTGTGCAATCTTGAGAAACCATCTTGTAGGAGAACCATAAGATTCAGGATTTTTGTCCTCACTTTGTTGACAAAGGTATACTTCTTGTGAGTTGCAGTGTTTGTTTTTTATCCATCAATCATATTTGTATCTAGTATTATTAGGCTGAAGCTCTCCTAGTTATGGGATTGCTAAGACTGGGGGATGCAGACTTACCATTTTTATTACTTATTCATTATCTGAGGTTATGCTGTAACATTTATACATGTGCCTGTGGTGAAGCTGCTACTCCGTTTGTTCTTCCCTTGCTCACCAAAGGAATGCTAGAGGAAGCCCCATTCATGGGTTGTTCCCGTCTCTGAGGATATTATCATCATCTATATTCTAATAACCAAGTTGGCCAAATCTGCGGCTACTTAAATCCAGAGACTGGACCTCTGAACAGACAGGACGGATCTTTCTGCATACCTTAAAAACATCCCAGGTTTGCAGGAAAAAAAATCTGAAATCTAAAAAAAGGGGAGGGGGGAAAAACCCAAATGATAAAAGGAGCATGTGTAACTTTAAGAAACGGATGCCCTTAGGGGCTGTTGCTAGGCAACCACAACAACAGGCTTGGTTTCTGTCAGTAAAAAAGCAGGGAGGGAGCAGGGCCCGTTCCAGGGCTGTTTTGTCCTTTGAGGGACAGCTCATTTGGGTCAGGTCTGACGGGGACTTGCTACAGTGACTTGCATGACTCACCCAAGACCCAGTTCAACAGCAGCCACTATATAAAAGTCAGTATGGTATCATGGTTAGAGTTTCAGACTAGGCCTCAAATCCCCATTCTGCTGTGGCAGCTCACTGAATGACCTTGGGCTGGTTATACATTTTCAGCCTAATGTACATCACAGGCAGGAGTGGATTGGCCATTGAGCGCCAAGATGCCTCCCAGTGGGCCAGTGGCCTCCCCGCACCTCGGCTGACCAAGCACTGTGATAGAAGGGCTGAGCCCAGTGCAAGGCAGGGGAGGTAGTGCCCAGCCCACCTCAGCCCTGCGGGAGGTGGGTGTCCCCAGCCCACCCAAGCTCCACACGAGGCAGGGGATATAGTGGTGCCTGGCCCAGTATGAGGCAAGGGATGCAATGGTGCCCAGCCTGTCTGAGCTTTACAACAAAGTGAGTGAGCTTGTGGCTAAGGCAAGGGTCCACCTGAGCCTCGCACAAGATGAGAGAGGAAGTGGTGACTGGCTTGCCCAACCTCTACACAAGACGAGGAGGAAGGTGGCACCCACCTTGCCCAAGGCAAGGGAGGCATCTGCCTGGCTCACCCTGGCCAAAACCCTGCATAGGGCGAGGCAGGCAGCGGTGACCAGCCTGCATGAGGTGAGGGAGGCAGTGATGCCTCCCTGAGCTGAGCAATGTGTGCCTGCTGTGCATGAGCCCCACTTGAGGCTAGGGAGGTGGCAATGTCCACACGCCTCAGCCACACACAAAGGGGGAGGAGGCAGCAGCACCCTGCGCAGCTTGTCCCGTGTGAGCCTCACTTGAGACGAGGGTGGTGGCAGTGGCCAGCTCAGCCCGCAAGGCAGTGCCTGACTCTGCCGTCTGAGCTTCACATGAGGCAAAGGATGCGGCTCCTTGCCCGCCTGAGGTCCACGCAAAACCATGGAAGCAGCACTCAGCCCTCTCAAGAGAAGGGAGGTGGTGGTGCCAGGCCTGCCCAAGCCCCACACAAGGTGAGGGAGGTGGCTGCCTGCCCGCCTGCCTGGGGCCTGCGTGAAACTAGGGAAGCCCACCTGAGCCTGTGTGAAGCAAGGAAAACAGCACTCAGCCAGTTAGTTAGGCAGGTTGCTTCTTCCTCCCTTTCTCCCTGGCAGGGTAAAGCAGGGTGAGGCAGGTCGCCTGGGAGAGGGGCCCTTTTCCAGGGCTTTCTACCCACAATCCATGCCTTCTGAAAGGGTTGCTGTGAAGACAAAATGGAGAGGAGAATGATGTAAGCTGCTTTGGGTCACCATTGGGGAGAAAGCTGAGGGTATGAATGAATTAAATAATAAATGTAGTTGAAGATGGGAGTCAGATAAAAGTTAGGTTGTTTGTGGAAGGGAAGGGAAGGAGGAGGCAGGACAAGGGAAGAGGCTATGGGCGCTTTAAGGGTAATGGAAAGAGGAAATAGTGGGGGCGGAAGAAATACCCCCCCTAACTCCTTGTGGGTTCCTGCTTGTCATTTATAATATACACTTGTGGGTTTTAAAATGTGTATGTGTGAGTTATGCAAGTTGGTGGTGAACACCAGTGAAGTTATTTGTAAATACTAATTATAATTAAGTAAGAAAATGTTGTAGAGATACAAGGCTCCTGGCTTTCATACAACTGGGAAGGGTAGGAGCACAGAAAGGCATTTCTTCCATCCTGGCACATATATATGCACTGCCCCCTCCCACTCTGGTTCCTCTGTGTTGCACTTGGGAATTGAAAGACTGCAGAAGTAGCGGCAGTGATACCTCAGATCAAAACATGTACCGAGATATGCTCTTAGGTGGTATCTAGCTGTGTTCATTAAAAACATATAGGAATAAGTTTCATGTGTCGTGCTGCTGTTCCTCCTAATCATGGTTTATAGAGCAGAGATGGATGGACCATAGAATTTCACACTCCATCCTCTTTCTCTTATTGTTTGGTTGTTAATGTTACATCCACACTGAAAGTAAGCAGGTTTGAAGTGAATTTGCAAACCCTGGGCAAGAGGAAATGCCGGGTTCATAGAGGAGGCGGAGGAGGAGATTGGATTTATACCCCACCCTTCACTTGGGAGTCTCAGAGCAGCTTACAATCTCCTTCCCTTCCTCTCCCCACAACACACACCCTGTGAGCAGTGTTCCCTCTAAGCTGAGTTAATGTGAGCTAGCTCACAGTTGTTTAATCTCAGCTCAGGAAGAATGGCACCAGAGAAAACTAATGTATGCAGTAGCCAAATCGCTCACTCACAACTTTAATGCCAGTAGCTCACAAAGTAGAATTTTTGCTCACAAGACTCCACAGCTTAGAGGGAACACTGCCTGTGAGGTAGGTGGGGCTGAGAGAGCTCTGAGAGAACAGCTCTGAGAGAACTGTGGCTTGCCCAAGGTCACTCAGCAGCTGCATGTGGAAGAGTGGGGAATCAAACCCGGTTCTCCCAGTTTAGAGTCCGTGCTCCTAACCACTACATCAAACTAGGGAACATGGAATGGAAGAGTCATGTTAGTAACCCACGTAATGTTTTTACGCATGATTAACAATGCAGTATGAAGCAGTGTTGACCCTTTTAAGAACGGATGTCAGTGAACTTAGAAAGGTGCAATTTTGCACAGGATTGAACTGTAAGAAATCAGCAGTGATATTCTGCACAGGGCCATAATAGTGATCCAATCTCAACTGTTCTGAAGTTCCCAATTTGTTCATACAAGATAAAGAATTCAAAGGAAAAAGAGGATTGGGGGAAAAGAATATCCTAGTTGCTCATTCCATTTTAAGAAAGTTTTATATTATATTGTCATGATTTTATTTAGTTCTGTTTTAGCTGTGTAGTGTTTGTGTAAGCCGCCCTGAGCCTGCTGCGGCGGGAAGGGCAGGGTAGAAATTTAATTAATAAATAAATATTTAGAATTGCCTATCAGGTGGCTTGTTCTGTTTCTCTATATAGGTATTAATTGAAAGGGGTAAATAAGCCTTACTGTTCTACAAATTAGGGTAATGCACCTCACCATATTCTGAAATATAGAAAATTAAATTTTCAACAGAAGTTAAGAGCTGTAACTTTGGCTCTCATTCTTAGTGCTACATCTAAGTGTGGTTGTCTGCTCTGCAGTGTATTCCTCACTGAAGTTTTATATTATAATTAATGTAAGAATTATAAATCTGGAAAACTGCCTTCACTCACCAAAAATTAAAATGGCACTTAATGCTTTGAAATTTAACCCAGAATGGATTTAATATCGGTTCCTAGGGTAGAAATCTTATGTTTTAAGATTATGTTTGAAAGTAAGGTTTTAAAAACAAACCAGAAACAGCAGTGTTTAATTCTCATTCTTAAGGATAATTATTACTTTGATCATATAAATTTTATTCGGGGGGGGGGTAAATTAACCTGTTAAAATAATTTAAAAGAGTAGTTCAGGAACCCTGCAAGGCAGCTTTGTAACAATAAATCTTTTAATAAATTATACCTTATTTATAGGGTAGGGAGGGCAACCATGAAGGAGCAAGAAAAGATACCTGTAAGGATGTGTTAATAGCGGCCAAGATCAAATTAATTCGTGCCATCGTATTCCCCATTACTATGTATGGGTGTGAAAGCTGGACAATAAAGAAAGCTGGCAGGAAGAAAGTAGATTCCTTTGAAATGTCATGTTGGAGGAGAGTTTTAATGGATACTGTAGACTGCCAAAAAGACAAATAAGTAGGTCCTAGACCAAATCGAGCTTGAACTCTCCCTAGAAGCTACACTGACTAAACTGAGGCTATGATATGTTAGTCACATTATGAAAAGACAAGAGTCACTGGAAAAGACAATAATGCTAGGAAAGGTTGAAGGCAGCAGGAAAAGAGGAAGACCCCACATGAGATGGAGTGGCTCAATAAAAGAAGCAACAGCCCTCAGTTGGCAAGACTTGAGCAAGGCTGCTAAGGATAGGACATTTTGGAGGTCATGAATTCATAGGGCCGCCATAGGTGGGAAGTGACTTGACAGCACTTCACACACACACACACACACACACACACACACACACCCTCTGGTGTGAAGCTCTAATGAACTAGAGAGTCAAATTCTTCAACCAGCTGATGTACACTAGCCATTCACAAACGTCAGCTCTTTTGGCCTACCAAGGGGACTGGGCTCCCTCTCCCTCTCCCTCCCCCTCTCCCTCTCTCACAGACACACACCACACACTTTCTAAAGTCTGCCGTCAACGTGAATTAGCTTCAGTTAATTTAATGCCTGATCCAAAGGTGGCTTTGTTATGCATTTGTTTACAGAAGAAAATAAGAAATTGGTACATAAATCCATCACATCTCAACACTAGAAATCCACCCCAAAATTACTATAGTATGTTGTATAAGCTCCCGTGGAATATAGATTAGCTAAAAATCGAGTGAGTGTGGATGCTTTGTAGGCCGTCTGGAATCCATTTATACCTTTTGCTAATCTACACTCAACAACTCTTCATCTGCCATTTAATACCAATTTGACAGATTAATTAGGCATAAGCAGTGGAACCGTAACAACATCTTCTTGAAGCTGTAAAACTTAAATGTACAGCAATAATTGGAAACCTTTTATTTTAAGTTTTTTCTCTTTTTCTCAATTTCTTTGTTTTGCATTTCTTTTTGTGTCTATGTTTTGTTAGGATGTATATTAAAAAAATTAAAGTATGTTTTCATTAAAAATCATGCATATTGTTTAAAAGGAATTGCATTCCAATAACACTGAATTTTTCCATTGTATGCTTGCAGTTTTCAGATTTCTGTTTTCATCACCACCCCCTCATCATAGGACAGTATTAGTGTATATTTAAACCAAGTATTCTTTATTCTTTGTGGGTCTTATTGCTGGTACCATGTAGCTTGGACAAAATGTATTTGCTTAAGAGGTTTTGCCCTAGAGGCATATCTCCTATTTCAGTTTAATGGAAGAGCTGAAAGGAATGGAATATCTCTTTATGGGTGACAAACAGAAGATGGAAATGATAGGCCGAATGGCATCCGGCTTTATTGATGTATACAGTAAATATTCATAGCTTGTTGTAACTTGTGCACAGTGTAGAATGCAGATAGATTTTCATGTTTGTTAAATGCTTCACTTTATTGCAGAAACAAATGTATGGGATCGTGCTAACATATTTTTGGGCCGACTTCCAAGTGTGATGGTTGCTGTCAGATATAATTTTTGATAATAGCTCTAAGCAATATTGGTCAGCGTCTATCTATTTTAGAGGACTTTCCGTTCTTTTAAAACTTCAGCCATGCAGAACTTGATGAGCGCCCCTTGTTTCAGACATCAAAACCTCAACACTCGTTCAGCTTGGTTTTTTGGTTTTTTAAAATTTCAATTTGTGAGCCACAAGGAGAGGCGGGCTATACATATTTTCATAAATAAAAATAAGATGTTTGTTAATCATGCTCTGTAAGCAAAAGATGTAACATTTTTGTTTGCTTTTTGGCATAGCAGGGAAATAAGATCAGTTTAGTTTTACAAAAATCATTGTACTGAGTGAGTATCGGTAAAGAGACTTCCAAAGTACTACAGCTAGATTGGAGTCCAGTAGCTCTCTAGAGACCAACGTCTGATGAAGGGAAGGGAGCTTTGACTCTCCAAAACTTCTACCCCAAAAAACTTGTTGGTCTCTAAGTTACGACTGGTCTCAAATCCAGCAGTTCTACTGCAGGCCCATATGGCTGTCCTTTGAAACTAGTGTCTCTTCATACAACCAGCCTGCTACATTTTAAATAGGGAGGGTTTATATTAAAAACATGGTTTTAATCACATTTGAATACCTGTCATTTGTGTTTCCCTTTCACCTTCTGTCGTATCCAAATGATTATTAAAGTGATTGTGCCACTGTGGAATGTCTCGTCATTGTGATCACTGTTATTTGGCATTCCTTGGGCATTCTTTTCCCCCTCAATACTTAATACCTTTTATTCCTTGTCCTCATGCATGAATTATGCTGTGTATGTGAAGAGGCTTAAAGTTTGTTTCCATTGCATTCTTTCTGAATGGGACCTGTTGTATCTGGGATCTCTCTCTTTTTTCCTTTAAGCCAAATTGGAATGTTGTTGTTGACCTTGACACCAGATAACTAGGCAGACATTATATAGCTATGTTTGAATCCTCGCAAAATGTGATGCTAAAGCCAACAGAGTCCTGGCGTGAGACCCTCCTGGACAGCAGAGTTATGGAGCTTTTCTTTACAGTAAGTCCCATTCTTCTGTTTTGCTAATTCAGTAGCCAAGAAGTGCTGCTGCTCCTGCTTTCTAAGACCATTATTGGATTGTTTCCTTCCTTTGTGATCAGGTAGGATGAATTCAGGTAAGATAGTTGAAATAGATGTAGTTCTGTGCTTTGCCAAGCAATTATGCATTAGGTTTGTTTTTCATTAGATGCTAATGATGTGCCTGTGTGTGTACTCAGTTAATAAAAGCTTGGCTTGTAGAATAAGTATTCATGAAATGGTAAGAGTTTTTTGCACGCTGGATTATATTGGTAGCTCTAGCGGCAGATGAAATCAGGAACCATTTTTAAGTGTTATGGTACTGATTTTCGGCATTGCAGCAGGAGCTGGGCAAGCTACTGAGCTTTTCCAGTATCGATGTTCTCTGAAGTGTCTCCCAGCTGATTATGAAAAGGAGGCTAATCTCTGCTTGCTGTCCAGGGAGGCCTGGCACGTAACACAACATAAAATACTAAATTTTACTCCTTACGGGATAAGGCTTGCAATATTAAAAACAGCCATGATATTTATGCTGTTATGTCTGACAAGTGCATGCATGTCTCTGTGTGCCTTACATGTTTGTGCCTCACACGTTATTAGTGTGCATGCAGATTTTCTACATGGAAGTAATAATTCGTGAAATTGTATAGGAAGCAGCTTTCAGTGCTTTGAATTGAGCTCCTTATTGCCCAGTGTTACGTGTGTTAAATCAAATGAGGCTCGCCCCCAAGTAAGTGGTCACAGGACTGCAGCATTAGTTGCAGAGTTTATGCAAGTTAGAGGGAAAGCTCTGTGCTTTTAATATTAAATTACTGACTTGGAAAATCTCTGAAGAAACTAGTTTAGGTTTATCTCCCAAAATAGAATTCTGTATTGTTGGAATTTGAGGGTATTGCTTTCAAAGGCAAGAAGTGTATTTAAAACTGTGTCTAGATGATGAATAGCATATTATAGTAAACCTTTTGTACACCATAGTAATTCTCCAGACAACTTTATCTGTTGTTGTGTACATAGTTACTTGCAAGTTTTTTATCTTGCTCAAGCATTTTCAAAAAGGTGAAAAATTTAACGGCAGACCACTTAACAGCTGCGCACAATGTGAACAGCTGTCTAGACGACCCAGACAGTTGCTACTGTCAGCTGGGAACCTCCTCAAGCAAATAGCTGTTGAGTTTACAGGTTAACCCTTTCTAACATTAATTTTGTTTTTATTAAGCCTCTAGGTTAAACCTTTTTTTTTAGAATTTGGCACTTTGCTTTTAAACATTCAGCACTGGATGTCAAAAGCAAACTGGATTTAGATCAACATTTGGATATTAAATCTATACTAATAATGACTGCTATCTCTGGCAATCCTTGAGTAATAGATAAACTCACAAACAACAAGCTCTCAGCTGTGTTTATGAATTCCTTATTTGTAGTTTACCTGCAACATTGGTGACTCGGTTTGAGGAGTTCATGCTTTGATTAATCATTATCAAGAACACTACTGACCATTAAGAATCTGATCTATCTGACTGCCTTTCAGAAAATCTAGTATTCTCTTCTATCCCCCCTTCTAGAAGCTTGATGTTTAATCTTTCCAAGATGACTTTTATGTTTAATATAAACATGCCCATTAAAAATTAAAGACTAAAAAATATGTCCGTCTTTTGGTTTAAATGCTGCTACTGTTTGTTTATTTGTTGTTTACTTGAATATTTGAAACACAAATTGGTCTAGTAATGGCTGAAATAACTACTATAACAAATGGCAAGATTCGTATGTGCCAGCAGATGTATGTGCCACCATCTGCCAGCAGATGGAGCATTGAATCTTTGCAACTCTCCTGTCTCTCCAATAATCCCTTTTTACCTCAGAAAGTCAACTCCTGGTGTCACTGGTCCCCCCATAAGTACATAGCTATGTGGATGGGGGAGGGGGCTGCAGTGAGGAAGGGGATGAATGTACCCTTCCTCCCTCTTTTGTCAGTGGAGCTGTGCTTGGAAGAAGAAAAGGGGGTCAATTTTTCCATTTCCCCCCTTCCTTGCTGCAACCCTACTCCCGCATTTGTTGGTTTGTCCATGTGGGTCTCATAACCCCGAGAACTGACTTTCCAAGGGCTGAGAGGATCTGCTGGGTGTGTGTGTGTAGCAAAAATCCACATCCACCAGAATCTTGGATCAAATCCTATATCTTCACGTCAAATTCAAGCTGTTCTGCTTTGCATGTACGTAAGAATAAGTTTTCTTTCAATCAAGACCCTCAATGTCCATATGTTGCTACTGACATTCAGTCAGATATGAATGCCGGTTTACTGTGATTTATTTTTGACAAATACAAGCTAGTACCTGAGAGTGGCACAGTCCTGTTCATTGACTGCGTGTTAAGTTATCTCAAAAGCAACTGAAGGATTTTGCTACAAGCTGTATTTGCTTTCTTGAGGGTTCCGTGTTTACCTCCGCTAAAGAAGCGTCTATATAATCTTGATTGAACTAACTTTAGCAAGACGCTGTAGCCCAGGCATAGTTAGCATAATACAGATGGCTGTCATTATTGCTGTTTTTAGAATTAGCAGCGTGTCTGACTGGCTGGCATCTGTTTCTCTCTTTAAGACTCAACATGCATAGACAGTTCAACATGTAGGTAGGTCCCAGTTAGCTTTGATTAATTAAAATATGACTTGTGAAGACTGTATATCGAGACCACAGTTTGAAAGACTGAAATAACGGGCAATTATTTAGTCTTAATTCAACTTGATATCGAGAGAAACTAGATAAAGCTTTTTGTGTGTGTGCTCCTTAGGATTGCAAGCCATGTGACTGGTAAAAGAACATCTTATTTTTCCCCCTCGATGTGGTGTTAACCCTCTCGCTTCCTAAAAGGTGCATCGAAAAATTAGAGAAGACACAGATATGGCACAAGACTCGCTGCAGTGCCTAGCCCAGCTAGCCTCTCTTCATGGGCCAGTGTTTCCTGATGAGAGCTCGCAGGTCGATTACTTAGCTCACTTCATTGAGGGATTGCTCAACACGATCAATGGGTATGTAATATCTTTGCTTACTAGAATTTAGGTTTGTAGTGGGAGGGAGGGTGGGGACTTCCTTCCTCGTTGTTGTTGTTTGTAGTTTTAACTGTGACACAGAACCACTTAAAGGTATCTCCGTAAAGATACCATAGTAGGCTTGATTTTGAGCAGAGTGATTGACTTAACACAGGCTCACAAACATGTCTCCTGCAGAATTGAAATAGAGGACTCTGAAGCAGTGGGAATATCCAGTATAATCAGCAACCTGATCACTGTATTTCCTCGCAATATATTAACAGCCATTCCAAATGAACTATTTTCTTCCTTCGTTAACTGCCTCACACACCTCACTTGCTCTTTTGGAAGGAGTGCTGCTTTGGAAGAAGTGGTAAGTACTGTCTTTGAACTTCAAAATTCTTATTTCAAAACACTGGTATTGCTGTATTTTAATTGTAATTTGTTTAAGTTAAAATCTATTTGGTCTTCTAAAGGCTAATTAGTTTAAATTAGTTATATCTGTGTATTCATGTTATGTGCAAGGGGGGAAGCTTCATTTAAGGACAGCTGATAATATGCATTGGGTTAGAATTTAGTACCAATTGAAAATCTGTGCATATTTTAAACTGTTTTAATCACTGCCATTATTGTGTATGTGTTTGTGTGTGTGTACTCTGTGTGTGTGTGCAGTTGGTATACATTATTCAGTATATATAGTAACCTTTGGATATTTTTTGGATTTTAATGTGGGAAAACTAGAATAATTTGGTAGCAAAACTGAAATGTACTTTTTTGGGTCATATTAAACTGTTGCAGCAAATTTATTCAGCTTTAGGAATGCCATATTCCCCAAGCAATTTTAGTTTGTGTTTAAAATATTCCTTTATGAGCCTTCTTGAAATGATAGTACTTTTAAGTACGCACAAGAGGCTTGCATCATACAGTTTTATTACTATTATGCTCCCTGGGGAAAAAAAATAAGATTAGCCAAAAGAAACAGTAAATTCTGGGTGAATGCATTTCAGGAATTGGATCCAAAGTTCTCTTTGCGTGAGTGGAGGGCACTTCTACTCACAGGGGGTGGGAATCTGTGACTTTATGCATATTTCCCACTTTAGCTGCAACCACAGCTGTCAGGAGCAATTTTTCAGATGGTACAGAAGACAGAGAGGTGCAAGACAGATCTATTACCTGAGTATGCTTCATTTGTGATAGTTTGGATCTGACCCCTAATTTTCTTCCATACACAGCAATTTTCTTTTCTGAAGGCCCTATTCATTTTATAGGCATTGACCTGTGCTTCTGCACCAGGAACCCAGAGGACTACTAAGCCTAATTTTTCACTTAAAGATTTAGGAGGAAAAGAAATCTGCGTTGTAGACTCCAATAGACGAAGGAGGGAACATTTCTGTTCACGTTACCCTCTTTCTGCTCCGTGTCTGTTGTCCCTGTTCACTTCCTACTACAATCTTGTGCTTTTTTTCCGTCACTCTTCTTGACTATTTTTAATTCTCAGTTTTGTAGCTGGTAGTGTCATGATTTCTTAATAGTGTGTGCACAAGACTAATCTGTGTAGCCTGTGTAATTTTAATCATAAAGTGCTCAGAACTGGCCTCAGTGGTTACAACATTTAACCAGGCGAAAGTGAGAATGTGGCTGTACAAGAATCATCTTGCAGAGTGAAAATAATTGTGGCAGGAATGAAAGGTGCTATCAGCAGCAGTATGTCTTTAGCTGGTGACAAGGGGCTAAATGGCAAAAGGTATCTCCTGCTCAGGGTTTAGAGCGTGATCTGAAAGCGTGTCCTCAAAGTGTGTCTCTGAAGCGGAACATACCCAGACCAGTGGCTGGAGAGGGAAGCAACATGAGCACTCGAAGTACATGGATACAGGATACATGGAGGAAGGGTAGTATGCAACTATAACAAGCAAATGTACATTGGGCTACTTGTGCCTTTGGTCGAGAAGCCTGGTGGTCTTCTGTTCATCAGTGCTTCTTCTGCCACTTGCATCAACTCTCTCTAAAGCCTTTCAAAGCCATTTTGTCAGTGCAGACCGAATGGCAACTAAGAAGAATGAAGTGTTAGCTACAGCTACATTGTGAGTGCAGTGCCATGGTGGCATGTAACCTTCCTGGTTGTGGGTTTTATTTTATGGTGTTGGCACAGATGGCGCCGTCTCAAACACCATATGAGTGTCTAATTTCCTGCAGAGGATTGTGCACTGGCAGTTCTTCATGCCTTGTAGGTTCATATTGGTACAGCATGTCCTTGGGCCTGAAGAGTCTTTAAGCATGTGTGCTAATTTAAATGACCAGGGAGAGACATAACAGGGCTGTAGACGAAGTGCCTGCAGAACTGTTCTAATGGCACTTAATGGACTGCAAACAGGCACTTGTCTTCTCGGGAAGATTGGTTCACAGTTTGCCTTAGCGTTAAACGCCACTAGCTCAGTTTCCACACTTTAGCCATGTTTAAAATTGTAAATATCTCATAGCATTACTAAAACAATCCAGATCTTTGTGTTACCAGAACAGTATATCAAACATATCCTTTCGTGGACTTTTCAAAACACATTTTTCCTTTCAAAGTTGATTCTCCCTTTGTATTTACAAGACAATTCCAATCAAATGGAATGATAAATCTGTTCAGATTGCAGAAAAAGGAAGAGCTGGGAAAGAACGCAAGAGCTTGATCAAGTTTCCTTTATTTCCATTGTCACTAACAAGGTTTCATAAAACCGTGTGCCGGGGCAAGTGGTCCTTTAGCTGGGGAGGGTTCCTGCAGCACATAGAACCCTGAGTTTTTTTCTTGAATAGCGGAAAACTTGGGGGAAATGAAGATGTATAGGTCTAATAATCCTTGATCCACTTTCCTGTTTGCTGAATGCAAATTGTGTACTGTGGGACAAATATACATTGAACTCAACACATTAAACAAGTGAAAAAGACCCAACTGGGACATTGTAGTGAGCTTAGACATCGGGGCTGAGCAGGTACTGTCTGGCTGCCTCACTGCATTTTCGCTTCATTGGGTTTTACAAATGTATGAATAAGGCTGTAATTCCATGCATGTGCAGTGCATTGGATTGCTACATGAATTTGCCAATTGTTACTGGGAGAGCCTAGAAGCCAGGATTAGGGTTTCATCTTAAGGAAAAGTAGCAAGATATTTGTTGACCACTTATTGTTTTCAGAATCCCATTTGCCTCATTTTGGTTTGCAAATTAAACTGACTTCATGAACTATCTGTGGCTTTGTTAGAATCTTTTCTAGATAAAATAGTATTTTAAATTAACAGTGACACTGTCGCATTTTCAAAGATGCCAGTCACTTACCATCATGAAATGCCAACTCTGACCACTTTGGAACAAATTATATGTGGATTTAAAAAAAATAATTTCCCCTTTTGAATTATTAATGAGGAAGAAACTAATTTGGTGAAACTGGGACAACTCTTTGGTAATTTTTTTTTTTGCTCTGTATCCTAGCTTGACAAAGATGACATGGTATATATGGAGGCGTATGACAAGCTCTTGGAATCTTGGCTTACTCTAGTACAAGATGACAAACATTTCCATAAAGGCTTCTTTACCCAGCATGCTGTTCAGGTTTTTAATTCTTACATCCAGTGCCACTTAGCTGCTCCTGATGGTACAAGGAATTTGGTAAGTTCTTGATGTGATGATGAAATTCATAGTATATAGAGCAATTTAAGTTTGTTTTAATACTCGATTTAACAAAAATATTGTAAGCATTGTCTTAAATATGTTGTCTGTATTGGTATAAATGGTGATAAGGCCAGTTTCTTAGTGTATGGTCATATGGTAAGCAGCCGTGTGTCCGCTTGTCTCATATCCATACTCTCTCTCTTGTCAGTGCAGGGTTCAGAACTTTTCTGTTAGGTTTTTGTACTAGGAGTTCTATAACTGCATTCAGACTAGAGCTGAACCCCACACTTATGTGAAAAGCCTTCTGAACTTTCGAAGGTTTCTTCACAACAAGCTAAGAGGAGGGTGGGAGACCTGTTGACAGGTAAGGAGGAGCAGCTGACAGAGGGCTTTTCCTTCTGCATTTCATCAGCAGGTGTCTCCCTCTCTGAATAAGCAGCCAAAGAAGAATTATTTACTCTGTTCAGCTACCGCTTTTCAGCCATAATGGTTCCCAAGACCATTTGCAATAAAAACTGGTTGAAACAATTCAAACCAAGGTTTAAAGTAAATCCCCAAACCAGGAGGCAAAAAGGCTACCCAACAGCAATAGCAAGACGGTAAAAACAATGTCAGAACAAGCCCCTTCACCCAGCTCTACCAGTGGCTCCTTTTCCTCCTTGAGGCTCTTCCATTTTCATTGCCTGTTATGATTACATGTGTAGAATTTGGAGAAGCATAAGCATAGCCTGCTGCATAGTGATTAGATTTATACATAATAGACGGAGCATCTCCTTGTTGCTTTTATAAGGAATACCTCTCATGGTTGCTTTGTGACAGCATAAAGAGAGCCTGAATTTAATGCTCTTGATAGCCCTAACAAATAGTTGGTATAAGAGAATATTCCATAGGCCTTTAAATTTATAGCCCAGCAATCTTGGCATAACTTGTTTATATAGGTTAATTCATGGTCTTCTGTAAGATAAGTCATTCATCCCACAAGTAACCATTTAAAAATCACAGCTGGCATTGCAGAGCTTGGCTTTTTCAGTATCAAAGCAGTAGCTGGGATTTTCGAATAGAGAGACACTCTTCAGTAAACAGCTGAGGCTTTGAAGTTTTAAGAGCATTATTTGCCGGTTTGCATAAAGGAAAGAGGGTTTAAAGAGCCCCTTGGGATGAACACAAGGCAAGGATCCAGTTTCTGCATCCTCTTTGGTGGCAGAAAGGTGGTGTCATTTGAGTTTTTATTAGGTGTGTATGCTTTAATTTTAGAGAGAATTTTTATTTCTTGCTGTGGAGGGAAAAAGCTGAAAAGGTTGAAAACCATACTACTTTTAGAAAAACCCCTCAAACATTTCAATCTGTGATGTTTGAACTAATCTGGTTCATTGTTGCAATTGGGCCCCTTCTAGTTTAATATGAATTTTCCCTGTGCCAAAAACATTCTTGGTTTTAGCCTCTGTAACATTATGTGCAGTTGGCACCTGGTGTTCCTAAATGCAGTACATTAATGATAACTTTGTCTGGGATAGTAAAGACTGCCTGCAGTATTGTAATTTTATTATTATTTTCTTATAAAATTATAATATTACTTTACATGAGCAATAGCTCCATTGATGTAAACAATGTACATCTTAACAAATGGGGATTCTGTGAGCAAAACACTGAGACTTCATTTTCTGGTTTTCTCACCTACTTCAAGCTAAGATTTTTTCATGAACAGAGTTTTATCTTTGAACAGCCACAGTGTGTAGTGATAAACACTTGGGCCACAGCCTTACCCCATCATCGGTGATTATTCATCTGTAACTGAAGGATTATCTGAATTGAGCCAAAAACAGTGGCTTGGAAATCCAGAAATAAGCTGTGGACTTTCCCCTTCTTCCATCATAGTTTGTCTCTAAATTTCTTAAGAACATAAGATAACAGAAGAACATAAGCCAATGTTGGATCAGGCCAATAGCCCATCCAGTCCAACACTCTGTCACATAGTAGGCAAAAATACCAGGTGCCATCAGGAGGTCCACCAGTGGGGCCAAGGCACTGGAAGTTAGTGCTAACTGTAATTGACTGTAATATCTGAGTCAGCAAGATATAGTTAGTGCTTGACTACTCCGTTGCAAATGAATATTTTCTCCCCTCAGCTCTTTGTTTCAGGGGCTCTTTCTGGAAGTTTTAGTGCACATATGATTGTCAGCTTATCTGACTTGAAAGCAGGAATTCTGTAGAATTATTTTTTACAACATAATGTAATTTATCTTCTTTTAAATGTCAGACTGCCAATGGTGTAGCCTCTAGAGAAGAAGAAGAAATAAGTGAGCTACAGGAAGATGACAGAGAACAGTTCTCTGACCAGCTGGCCAGCGTAGGCATGTTAGGAAGAATTGCTGCCGAACACTGTATACCTCTTCTTACAAGGTATCTACTGCTTTCTTTACAAAGGGGTGTTATAGTTCAGAATCATCTCTATAGGGTTTTGTTGGGGATTTTTTTTGAAATGTGAACTCAATTAGTATCAAGCTGGCTTGCTATTTCTCCTCAGCTTATTAGAAGACAGAGTGACACGGCTTCATGGCCAGTTACAAAGTCATCAGCAGCAGTTAATTGCCTCACCAGGATCAGGCTCTGTGGATAATAAAGTGCTTGATGATCTGTATGAGGATATTCATTGGCTTATTCTAGTCACAGGTGAGTGGAAAACTTTTATGAACATGCAAGTTGATATTGTTCCATTGCAAATGGACATTCCTTTGCCAAACTTCTTAACTTAACCGATGGTATGTGTTGACAGAACCTCCATAGTGAGGCTTCAGAAAGCTGAATGTACACCTTACATAAACACACCTTACATAATCTCTATAATACTCAAGTGCGATACCTGATGTTGTATGGGGCTTTTGGTAGAGGAGAGCAGATTACTTTTGGATGAAAATCTCCTACTGTTGTAGGTGAACTTGGATTTTCATTGAAACAGGATGTATAGAAGAATCCACCATGCAGGTCCTCTCTAGCAGCTGAGTGAGGTACTTCATGGGCTATAATAGCAAAACTGAGTAAGCTCTAAATCTCCAGCCTCTAATTTCTCCCATGCAACAACTCTAGATCTCCAGGAAATCAAAGATGTTAGTAGGGAGTCTGTTTATCCCCAGCTGTAAGAAGTAACATGAAAACAGCCACCCCAAAGGGTGGTCACACCATAAGGAACTGCATTGCTCAGCCTTAAGGCCTCTGAGGCAGCAGATCTAAGCACTTGAAATTATGACAGTAGTGCTGGCGATGTTCATCTCCCATGTACTAAGTAGGGGTGGCTAGCAACCTAAACAATCATTCTTTAAAACCTTCTGGGAGTTGGTTCCCACCAGTGTCAGAGGAAGCTTGCTAATACAGATGGAGATGCTCTTGATCCCAATATAGCCTATCCAGTGATTTAATGCAGTGTATCCTAGTAGCCAGAGCCAGCTTAGAAAGAAGGAAGGGCAGAAGCCACAACTATAATGTCACTGAAGGAGCCAGGACTTATCCAGCAGCAATAGTGGCTCCCACACGCGAGTCATCAAAACAATCCTGCTTAGTCCAGAACAAAAGGAAAAAATCACAACTTCACGAAACCCTTAAGAACAACATAAGTATTCTTCATGGCAAAAAAACCTTTCCTAAAATCTTCCTCTGGTTCATTTTTGAGATGAAGCAGTTTTCTCCAAGATTGAATATACAGTTATGCGATGCTGTCTTATACGGAGTCAAACCAATGACTGATGTAGTTTCTTATTGTCTGTTTTGGCTGTCATTAGCTTATTCATGATCTGAAGAAAAGTCTCTACTACTTGACAGCTGTCTTCTCTGGCTGTGCTTTGGTGCCAGGTGTGCTCCCAAAAGACCAGTCTTTACTTTCATTGATCCAGAAATCTCTCAGCAAAATTATGACATTGGAGACAACCATTCAACATCTGTTAGCTATCAGGATACGAAGGCTGACTAGTACTTTTCCCATTTTCTTTGCCATGCCCCAAATGACACTAGGTTGGAGAGTCATCCTGTATCTGAAATATGTCAGCCAAACACATCAGGTCAGACATGATGAGATTTATCCTAGATATAACTCACCTGGAACACTTTGGCATCAGTGTAGCTTCCTGAAGCTTGCTTACATGTACTAGTTTAATCAGACAGTACAGTTTCTTACATTGCACATAGTCTCCAAATATATCAGTATGTGATTTTTTTCTGTTTTGGCCTCTTACTAGCACACAGGATCTTTTCCAAGGTCATACCTAGTGGCCAATCTTCTGATATATAGAGCAGGTGTGTATCTAGTAAAGATTAAATTATAAGCTCTCAGCTCTCATGGCACAAGCTGTTTCTCTTGCATCTCTACCAAGAGCCGTTTAGATTAATAAAAACACCAGCTGTATGTCTGTGGCAGAAACTATTAGTTCAGTGGTATCTTGCATGGAGTTTGTCCAGTGTACACCTCTCTTAGTGAATGGATCTATTTAATTTATAAAAGAACCATCAAATACAGATATAGAGAAGAATGGCATAGGTTGAGATCTCTCTGATGGAAGGAAAGTCCATTATTTCTGGATGACAGAGGAGGTTCAGCTGAGCATAAATGGGATAGAGCTTAGAGCCAACCATTTCATTCTCCACAAGTTTCTCCCGGGGGCCACAATACAGGAGTAGGGGCACTACAGCAAAGATATGTGACAGTCATCAGGGAGGAGGTCATTGATTCTTCACCAAGAAAGCAATGCTGCTGTTCTAATGGATAGACTTCGGGCCTCCTTCTCTGAAATCTGGACATCTTTAAGACACTGTGCTCATGAAGATGAGCTAATTGTGCCATAAATGAATGAAGCAGTGGATGAAGCAGAGTGGTTTCTGGATTGCCAAAGAACTGGAAAGCTCAGGAAGGAGAGAGTGAAAATTCTTCTATATTGATATTGCCTACATTATCTCTGATACTTTAATCCAATAAGTGTTCTCATCAGAGTACTATGATGTTTTCCAGCTAACACCTATATTTTATCTCAAGGTTTGATACCATTGCAGTCTAAAATGGCACCATTGGCATAGAGGTTGAATCAATCACTCTTATTCAGGAAGACTAGTCTTATGAGGTTCTTTGTTACCCACACATTACCTCGCAAACAGTCTGCCCAGAGAATCAAGGGGACTATGCAGAACACCTTCTCCGGAATCTTTGATCAAGTTTCATCTTCAAAGGCTAGAGTCCAAAACATTCTCAGATTGTTCCAGTAAAAAGCACATGAAAAATTCGGTACCAGTACTCTTAAAAGACAGTTGTGTGTCCTGGCAAATGTTCTTGACAGTAATCATGCTAAGCATTTCTTGTCTCACCCTGAAATTCTGGCTACTTTCTCACAGAGGCCTTCCCATTCATCAGAGATCTCCAACATGGCGATGGAACATAGTTGTTTGACAGGCCTTTACAGGCTTACTTGAAGGACTTCATAGCCAAGGCTGTTATAAAAGAGCTCTCAAGACTGTTTTCCAGGTGACAGCATCTTCAACTCAAAGAGTTTTAAAAATAGCCTCCCTATCAGTTAACAAAAATAGCTCAATGAAGATAAGATTATCCTCAAGACGGATCATATCTGTACTATCAAAATAATAGATTCCAAGGAATCATCCTCCTTTTTCCAACACAGCAAGAGAATGTTGTCATATTCTTAATGTCTGGATGAGCCCTTCAGTGTTACATAGACTACAGATAAGATAATAAAGTTCAGGGGAGTGCCTTTTTTAGTTTCTCTCAAGCAAGGCTCCAGCTGAAACATTCAGCCAGGGAGGAAAGCTTCAAGATCCACTTTTGATTAGTTGAGAGGTTGTATCGTTGTTGTACTTAAAGAATTTTAGTGCAGTCTGTTAGAAAAGCAGCAACCATCATTGATGTTTCAGATAAATTCCTCCCTGGATCATACTTGATGGGCTCTTGATGTTGTCTAGCCATACATTTGCTTGATACAATAGAACTGGAGGTTTTGTTTCTGCAGAGCCTGCTCTGCCCCCCTATCTGAGAAAGGAAAGCTGGATCAAGAGCCCATCAAGTATGATCCAGGGAGGAATTTATCTGCCTTCTTTTCATACTGAATGGCATAGAGAAAACAGTTTAGTCCTCCCAAATTCTGGGGATGGGTTCTCTGGAGTGACTGTCCCCTGGAGAAGGGGATATGGGGACAAGTCTTCTTTCCTCTCTTGTCAGACCTATTCTTCTATCCCTAAAGAGAAGAATCATACTGTACTTCATGTTAATGAAGGGTGTTTTCTTTTTACCAGTTGAGTTTTCTAGTCAAAGGGGAAACCGTTTTTCTGCTTTCTAGTTGACGAATATTCTGGCCCTGCTTGAGAAAGTAGGAGAAGCTTCATCCCAGTGTAAGCAGTTCTCCTCTTACCAACAGGAAGAAAACTTTAAAAGTCCAGTTTTTCTTTTAAACAGGTACAAGCGTCTCTCTCAAAGTCGTGTTGCTCTAAATTGACTATATAAACAGTAATAATAACCCTGTTTTGGGAATATGGTATTGGTATATATCATGCAGCTCGATAATTAAGGTTTTATAGATTTGAATGCCTCATTTAACCGAGATACCATGTTATGTGCCTATCTAATACTTCTCAAAAGTTTGTGTCATATGGAGGGGGGAGGGTCTGTTTCACAAGGACTTGAGCCCAATTACAAATAATGAAGCTCTTGCATTTGACGAAAACATTGGAATTGCACAGACCAGCCATGCCCTTGTGGTATGCACTTCACAAATCTTTATGGCTCCTGCCCATTGGAATTTACATCTGAATAGGAGCCTGTGTGTCAAGACCAACACTTGTTGTCCCCATGTTTGAATGTGACATCTAACATAGGCATGTCTGGGAATGAGATGGAACAGTATGATCCAAGTTCCCCCACCTTGTATAGGTTTTCTCTGCATAGGGAATTGCATAGCTATTGTTTCTCCTGGACTTTTATTTACTATAACCCTAAATGCAGTAACACCTTCTTGCCATTATACATTCCTTATGGAAAGTAAGAAAGTGTTTTTTGGTTGCCAGTATTCTGGAAGTTTCTGAGAAAATTTTAAGTTTAACCTGTGGTATACTTGCAATGAAGCATTGTTAGATAGCATTAGTGTTTTGTGTTGTGGCAAAGAAATGCATATTTTTTAAAAGTTAGTTTACATTTGCTGTGGTATCTTATGATGAATTAAGTATTTTCTTCCCCTGTGGTGTGTTTTCCCAGTGATTCTATTTCATTGTATATTTTAATCTGTCTTCTCATATGCAGAAAACTGAAATAGACTAAGTACAAGATACATCTTAAGGTCCATAAGCCTATGATAGAATTTAGTCAAATGTTGATGCCAGTTCTCCCAGCATCTCTTGTGATGGCCCTTAAAGCAGTATTTAACCTAGGTCAGGTAACATGAGGTCACTACTTTCTTTTTTTGTTTGCTTTTAATTTTAAGGCTACCTCTTAGCTAATGATACTCAGGGAGAGACTCCGCTAATACCTCCAGAAATAATGGAGTATTCCATTAAGCATTCAACTGAGGTTGACATCAATACAACGCTTCAAATTCTTGGATCTCCAGGAGAAAAGGCCTCTTCTATTCCAGGGTACAACAGAACCGATTCTGTTATTAGGTAATTTATTTAGTATCTTAATACCAAATATTGGGGAAGAAACCTCAGAGGTAGACAGCAAATAACACCAGAGATTATTAGTCCACATAAAAAAAATGATAGAATTGTGAATGTTGCAGATGGTGAAAAGTCACATAGGCTTTATGTCAAGCTGACCATAGTGACCTGGAGGTGATCATTAACCAAAGTAGCTTAAACCACTGGGAAATGGTTAGAGCTGAGTAACAAGTTAAAATCAGTCTTCAGTGCGGAGGCAGCTTTGAGAACGCCATGCTTGGAGGTCTGAATGTCCGGATTATAAAAGGAAGTTGAAAAGTTGTTGTGTACATGCATAGAACTTCCACCAAGAGGTGATTTGAGTACATCTTTATGCTGAGATAAATGGCTGATATCAAGGTAGAAATGATTACCCAGAAAGCTGTCTTGAGCAGAGAACTAAAAAAGTCCACCTCGTTTCTTCAAGCCAATATGACATTATAAAGCAAATGGTTTGTAGTTATTAAAATTGACAGATTTTCTCAGTCGTAGGAAATCAGCTGTTAGGGCTCTGAATCAGACAACCTAGCTCCTAAAAGAGTTAAGATTGTATGCTGCTTTTCAGTTGGCCATCAGGTAATACACAAAGAGTTCTATCCTTTTATAAGATTAAGAAAATAATGTGTACCTAAAATCCTATTTTGAAGAAGTGGTAGTTGTGCTACTTTTAAGGATCTCTAGTTTTTGCCCCAGAAAATAAGTTGTGCTCTTTTTGAGGGTTAATGTTATGCAAGTTACTCTATAAGTACTGTTATTACTAAGCATTTGATTCCTACGTTGTCTGGATTTAGACATACTGAAGTATTATTTATGCCCTCAGGCTAGACTTGGTTTGTGGTGATATGCTGCTGCACTAAGAGGTTCACTCAATGCCGGGCATCCTCATGGAAGTACTGCAAATTATGGGATCAGACTGTTAATTGCTAAATACAAGGGTTCATGTTGAAGTCCTGGTACTCTGCAAAAAACAAAACAAAACAACTAGCAGTAGAAAGCATTTGCCTGCTTCTAATGGTTTCAAAGCTAACAAAGAGAAAAGAACAAAGTTTAAGTCCGGTGGCACCTTTAAGACCAACAAAATTTATTTATTTATTTATTTATAGCTTTCTAGATCAACGTAAAATTATGGTGCGGGGGGGGGGGAAGTCCCGAAGAAATGTGAATTTACTGATTTCAGTGGGATTTAAGATTCACGTCAGCATTTGAGCATACCTAAGAACCACTTGACACAGTACATAGTAAACACATTCTAAGACAGAGGTCCTCAACCTTTTTGAGCTTGTGGGCACCTTTGGAAATCTGACATGGTGTGGTGGGCGCAGCAACAAAATGGCTGCCATAGGAGGTGGAGCCGGCCACAAAATGATTCCAACAGCTTAACTTCAGTCACACAGCGCAGATCCTTGTGCTGTGGTGGCAGCTCCTGTGAAAGCAGCATTTTAAAATATCTGTACAACCAATCAGATCCCCGCTAGCCAATCAGAAGCCCTGTTTCACTCACTACCTCTGCCTTTTGACTGGCAGGTGCTTTCCAAGGTCTTAGGCAGTGGGGATGAATCAGACTTTTGCCCCCAGGCTTTTAACTGGAGGTGTGGGAGATTCACCCTGAGACCTTTTGTGTAGAAGCCTGTGTTCTGCCACTGAACTATGGCCTTTTAGTTCTTATTGTGAAAAACAGCTTTTTTTCTGGGTTGAAAACCTTATTGTAGCAATAAATAAAAATCATATGTACTTTGTAAAAATACAGAATAAAATATTAATTTAAAAAAATCATAGTTCTATGCATCTGTCTGTTGCCAGAGCACTTGAGCAGTACTGAGAGCTCTGACCAGCTTTAGAGTAGTATAAGTGAAGGTGATCAACAGTCATCAGTATAAGGTATCAACAGAAGCTTCACATACTCCAGGCAAGGTTCCAGTTGAAACATTCCTGTCTACCCTGTTGTCAGGGCCTTAGAAGTCACTCTTCCTGCTGCAGTAATCTGAGAGTCCGGGTTCAAAAGTTAAAGGGCTATCTTTTCATCATGTACTAGTCTTCAAGGCAAAGGGCATGTTGTATTCCAGTGTTCTGTGCCTGAATAAGCAGAGGGTCATGTCACTCAGTTATGTCCCATCTTTTGAAGATTTCCAGCCCATGTGAGAGTGAGAGAACAAGGGTAGAGCGTTAGAAATAACTATAATTTTAATTTTCTCAGGTTATTGTCTGCTATTCTAAGAGTTTCAGAAGTGGAGTCTCGAGCAATAAGAGCAAATCTAACGCACCTTTTGAGCCCTCAGATGGGAAAAGATATTGTATGGTTCCTTAAACGGTGGGCGAAAACCTATCTCCTAGTGGATGAAAAACTGTATGATCAGGTAATCAATATATTTAATTTTCAATATGGCCCCAACTGTGGGTACTTAAAACCAGAGACTGTAGTCAAGGTTGAACAAGACAGATTTTTCTACAGGCCTGAGAAAGGCCCCAGGTTTGCAGAAAAATCTGGAATTAAAAAAAAAAAATGCAGGGGGGGGACTAAACCCCCACAAAATAATACAAGCAGCACCTGTAGCTGTAAGAATGAATGCCCTAAGTGGCAAGGGAAAGGGGCCTTTCCAGGGCTATTTTGGCTTCTTAGGGCAAACTTATTGGAGCCAGGCATGGCAGCAGCCACTAAGAGACTTGCTACTGGTCTTTTCTGTGAATCCCCCAGGTCCAGTTACTCACTACTATTCAACAGCAGTGTGGAATAGTGGTTAGAATTTCAGATTAGGATCTGGGAGACCCAAGTTCAAAACCCTACTCTGCCATGGATGCCCAGTGGGTGACCTTGGACCAAGCACGTACACACTCAACCTGCCGTATAGGGTTGTTTTGAGGAAACAATGGAGAAGAGGAGAATTATATAAGCTACTTTGGGTCCCCATTGTGGAGAATTGGTGGGTAGAAGGAGAGAAGGAAGCAAGGAAAAGTTAGGATATGGGGGCTGCCAGGAGGAGAGAAAGGGGACATAGTATGGGGAGAGAGAGGGGAAAGTGAGGTGCCCTCTGCAAGTCCTTTCATGTTTCCTACTGTGAAACCGGGTCTGGCCTAGCAGCTGGCACTATGCAAGCTTTTATTGGAGAGAGGCCGCCAGGGAGAGGAAAGGAAGAAATGCTGAAGATTGGGACAACTATAGGTATGTTGGCAGGAAGGAGAAAATGAAGCAGGAAAAGGGGAGAGACCGAAATCTCATGGAAGAGAAAAAGGCAATAGTGGAGGGGGAGAAAATGAGATCCCCCCCCCCCTTAGTGGTCCCTCATTTCTGCTGTTATAATGTGGGAGTGTTCTTTCTGTTTAGTTGTCTGAAGTTCCCTATTTACTGAAGAGTGGATCCTATGGCTGACTTGGATCCCACAGTGTGTTTCCAAATGTGTGTAGGGGGAGTGTTTTCACTGATTTCCTCCTCCTGCTTCAGACATCCAGCTTCCCCCACGGCCACACTGTTCCTAGTGGCTTGCCTATCTCTTAAGTACCAACATTTTGAGGGCCGTTTCAGGCTGCATTGAGGGGAGGTGAGAAGGTCGTGCTCTTTGGAGGGAAATTCTCTGTGAGATCTAACCCGCTGATATGCCAGGAGAGGCATGAGTTTTTTTCCCTTGCAATCCCAATCTTATTTACCATCTCCTGTGTTCTCAGTAGATATGTGCATTGTCTTAAAGCGGGTAAAGGCTTAGAATCAAGATGAGAGTTGCCTTGTTTTTAGTTCTACTAAAATTTAATTGCTTCTTTTACAGATAAGTCTGCCATTCAATACAGCATTTGGTGCTGACACAGAGGGCTCTCAGTGGATTGTGGGTTACCTTTTAGAAAAAGTAATCAGCAACCTTGCAGTGTGGAGTGCTGAGCAGGACCTCGCAAATGACACTGTGCAATTGCTAGTAACATTGGTAGAAAGGAGAGAGAGGTAAGCCTAAAATGTTAACAAGGTAAAAGGGGAAAAAACTGCTTATCCAACTCTCTTAAAACTGAGTATAACAATGAAATGTACCAAAATAATCAGTTAACGGGACAATTTAATACTTTGAATAACCTAACTGTACAGCAATGTTAAGTTGAAGAATGTGGCCTTTCCATCCAGTGGCAAAATTTTCCATGATTTTATGAGAACACCCTTATATGTGCACCTGTACTGCTGTGCTTTCAAGGTGACATTGGGCTGGTTCATACTTACTTGTTAACTATTTGATGAATGCAACGTCATATTGCACATATGATGAGCCTTCCCAGATCTAATGCTACAGAGAGGAATGACGTTGGGTGACTGGAGAGTTGTAACAGAGTGCTTCTCAGTGGAATTGCTTCACATATTCATCTGCCGCTCATAAAGTACTGTGTCCAATGATGAGCATGCATTTGTAAACCAAGTAAAACTAAGAAAATAGTAGACCAGTTGGTACAGCCCACTAGTTATCTGGCCAGAGTAGCAAAGCTTGCATTGGTTGTATGATTAGTGACATAATTAGAAGCTAGGTTTCTTGAATTCTAAAATATGTCTACCCTACGGTGCTTAACAATTTAAATTATCAAGAAGCGCTAAATTTGATGAGATTAAGGGTGACAAACATTGACCGACTCAGCACTTCAATTCGTGCTAGGCGAGTATGCTCCAACTCTGCCTTAGGGATTGTTCCACCTAAGAAAATTTTCTCATATATGAGCTTCCTTACATCCCCCAGATCTAGATATGTCTTCACGCTTGCTAGGTTGAATGTTTTTCCAACTGCAGAGCTAAGTGGCCGTTTTGCTAAAATACAGTACTCAAATAGATTGTGTGATTGTGGATCAGGTGCAATAGAGACCTTAGATCACCTTATGTTATTTTGCCACCAATGGATTGACCCCAGATCCTGTTGGATTACTCCTATTTTACAAAGACATCACCTCCCTATGGAACCCTGGGTGATAACCATACTACTAGCAGATGAGGACCCTGAAACAACTCGCTTGGTGGCAAAATATCTTTTGATAGTGCTATTTTTACGCGGCTTTGAAATGTTATAAATAGTTTTATGTATATAATTTTAAAATATCATGGGATTTTATAGAATCCATCGAAGTTTACAAAAGGTGGTCTGATAATACTGTTCGAGAGTATGTTTACTAGTTTTTATTGTAAAGACGTTTGGTCTAAATTATCCTGTAATTATATGTAGTGCATTCTATAGTTGCTGTTTGCATGTCTGGCTTAAGACCTCGGGTCAATGAAGCTAATAAATGAAATGGAAGTACATCTAGAAGATTTAGCAGTGCTGTAAGTGTTGCATGCAGTTAAACAATTACTCTTGGTGTTCATGTATCTTTCTACTTTTAGGGCGAATTTAGTAATTCAGTGTGAAAACTGGTGGAACTTGGCTAAGCAGTTTGCCAGGCGGAATCCACCTCTTCACTTTTTGTCCAGTTCTGTGCAGAGAACATTAATGAAGGCCTTGGTTCTAGGAGGTTTTGCTCATATGGACACAGATACTAAACAGCAATACTGGACAGAGGTAAGACTGATTTTTAGTTTCATTAGCCAGGTTAGAATTTTTGGTGTAGGAAACTTAACGTGTGTGAATTATGTGGACATAATTTAAAACTTTTACATGATCATTTGCCTTGATCTTTATTGTGCTGAAGCATCTTTTAAAAGTTCCAATTATTTTGTCATACATGTTAAGGGAAATTATTATTGGAGTCTTTCAGCTTGGCCCTTTTAACAATATCTGCTAGCTTTGTGCAGTCTATCCAGAAGTGTCATCTCTTGTCTAACATATGTTATTGTAAGCTAGCTGAGGATGAACAGTATACACAAACATTTCCTTATTTTCGTCTGAGAACCAGTAAGATAGATAACTTTTTGAGTTACAGTTATAATTTCATTAGGTTTTATAGCTACCTATATCCTGATGCATTTGTTTAAAATTAAAAAGAAATTATGGATTTCAAATGCCAGATAAAGAGAGTGCATTTAGTTAATGTCTGTAGCTGAGATTGGTATTACTCAGGAAACTAGAAATTGGAATACACTTTGTTTGTTTGTTTGTTTTTGCTATGTAGGTTCTTCAACCACTTCAACAAAGATTCTTGAATGTGATAAACCAAGAGAACTTCCAACAAATCTGCCAAGAGGAAGAAGTGAAACAGGAAATCACTGCAACCTTAGAAGCACTCTGTGGCATTGCTGAGGCTACCCAGATAGACAATGTAGCAATTCTCTTTAATTTTCTAATGGACTTCCTTAACAATTGTATTGGACTAATGGAGGTGTACAAGAATACACCAGAGACTGTTAACCTCATCATAGAAGTTTTTGTTGAAGTTGCACATAAACAAATATGCTATCTTGGAGAGGTAATAATATCACAAAAAACACTCTGGGTGTAAGTAGGGCACACTTTGTAAAGACTGCAGATCTACACTTTGGTAGATATGATCAGCTTCTACAGTTTACACTTGCTGGATGTTTTAGCCCATTCCAGGCCCTGCCTATTCAGATGTGAATTTAAGAACTGCTTTCATAGTCATTTCTGTTTTCCATTTGTGCCCGCTGGGTTCCTAGTTGCATGCTTTGGTACCAGATCACAAATGTAAGAAGCTAACATAGCCAGATGCTCTAAAATAGCTCTCTATATGAAGTTGAGGTTGCTTGGAAAGTCCAGTGAATCATACTTGAACAGGTATCAAATATAGTCAGCTGATGGATGAAGTAGTCCTAAGAACCAATTACATCCCACTTTTCAGCCAAAATGTCTTATAATGTCTCCCTCCTTTCTTATACCTTTGTAGCTTCCTTTTGCTTTGCTTTTATTTTCCCATGCTCTGGCAAGTTTTGTCCCTGCCTTTTACATTCCTTCTCTTTTTTCTGTCTCAAGGAACTGTAATAGGACCTTGTTGCTCTTTTGGAATATAAGGGAAAGGGGTGGGAACTGGTATTCTAATGCTAGGCTCCACCTGCTTCCAACCAGCTGGACTGAAAAGCAGTCACTATTGGCATGTGGTTTTGTGGAATGCTGTCAAGAGGCATACTTAAATAGTTGTATGGGACTCTTGAAGACTGAGAACTCAGCAGTGCTCAGTGGCACTGGTTATCCAGTTCAGTTCAGTTTCAGAAACCTTTAATGGCATAAAATGTAATAAAATGCAGAATACTTACATAAATAAAAACAAGATAGGAGTCATACAGTCCAGTTAAGACAATAAAACAGTGTTAAAGAATAACAACACAAATTAATCAAGTATTCTTTGCCTTAGCCTTAAAAACATGGTTACCCTTATTCAACACAATAACCAAATACTCAGCCACAAGTTCCGTCAATTTGATGGATTTATCAGCAAGTAAATATTGAGTAATTCTCTCTGGGGGGCCAGAGAGGTTGGAAATAACAGGATCAAGGAGTTGTTGACAAACCTTACAGTGCATGGGACAGCAAAGTAAAATATGGGAAATTGAATCAGGTTCCAGTAAACAGTATTTACATAGTCTGTTCTTAAAAGGTATATTATATCTACCTGAAAGAACAGCTGAAGGGAAAATATTCAAACTAGCGAGCATAAAGGCCCGACGCTGTTGAGGATTAATAAGATTTTGCATGTAAGCAGCTCCTAGCCCTTGGGGTGAACAGCAGACCATGAAAACAAGGAGAGCAAATCATGTTGGTTCCCGCAGCAGTGGTCTGACTCTGTATCCCAAATTCTCTGACGGATAATGCGAAATAATTGGTTCTCGTCTCAGTTAGGGACTCCAAGTTGATGCCAATAGAATCAATTTTGGACCTGATATGTTGATACTATTTAGAGATATAGGAGTTCCTTAATAAATCATATAGCAGAGTGTTAGGACAAGCCCGGAATTAAAAATGCAGGCAGTATTTAATAGTAATTATCCAGGCAATAGTTGAAGGCAGGTAGAGGCCAAGTTTGCTAGAAATAGTAGAAAGTCTAATCATATTTGATACACCCAGAATGCGGCGTAAATGGTTATCCATTTAGCCTGATGAATATTAATGTATGATGATATTTTTCCTGACATTGTGTATTTTCTTACAGAATGCTAAAGCAACATGACTGTACCAGAAACATATTAATTTATTTTAGTGCATTTTTATCTCAACATTCCACCCAAGGACCTCCAGGGGGGGGGGAGAGTATACATGGTTTGCACCTCGTCCATTATTTCCTCACAACAACTCAGTGCAGTAGGTTAGGCTAGGGGAGGATGACTGCCCAAGGTCATCCAGTAAGTTTCATGGCAAGCAGGAACTTGCGCTTCAATCTCCCAGATCCTAGTCCAATATTCTAACCACTACACAGTTACCAATGCTAATGTGTTTCTTCGCTCTGACCTGGATGGCCTGGGCTAGCCCAGTTCCGTCTGAACTTGGAAGCTAAGCAGAGTCAGCCCTGGTTAATGCTTGGATGGAAGACCACTAATGAAGCTCAGGGTAGCTACAGGAGGTAGGCAATGGCAAACCATCTCTTGCCTTGAAAATCCTACAGAGTCACCATAAGTTGGTTGTGATTTGATGGCATTTTCCACCACCAATGTACTTCTTTATTAAGTCTCTCTTTCTTTCCTTTGTAGTCTAAAGCCATGAATTTATATGAAGCCTGTTTGACCCTACTTCAAGTGTATTCCAAGAATAATTTAGGTAGACAACGAATAGATGTTACAGCAGAAGAGGACCAATACCAGGATCTTCTTCTCATCATGGAGCTTCTTACCAACCTGCTTTCGAAAGAATTTATAGACTTCAGTGATACAGGTAAGAGGAATAAATGTTGTAATAAATGGGTAATTGTTCCAAAGCATATCTAAAATGTCTATAGGGATACAAAACCTTTAAAATTGGAGTAACTATAAATTGATTTAAACTGTTATAGCTCTATGTATCTTTGTGTATCATAGAGTTTGTCAAATATCTTCAAATTGAAATTGTAGTTGTTTCTCCATTTACAGTAGTTCTAGAGTTGTTCTACATACTTTTCCAATTGGGTTTCAGGTTCTTTTTGTGTGCCTGCCTTGGAATCAAAACAGCAAAACATCACTATAATTTTTTAAAAAAATTCTATACAGCATTGCAGTGTTAGTGAGATTTTAAAAATTACTTTGTACCAACAGTGAACACAGAACATGCAGAACTGGAATGTGTTTACTGCTTAGTACCTCTGTCAGGTCAGCTGCAGTATTCGGAGCCAAGTTCAGTTTGGTCTTCCTGAAATGCACATCCTGAACTCTAGTTGCTTTAGTGTAATGTTTTTTGCAAGGTTCATTAAGCTATTCTGAGACTGGAGTTTAGAATGGGATTTGGGAGAGGGCAGTGTACTAAAGTGATAAATGTAAAATGTGTTGCTGTATTTTTTTTCTCCCTTTTTAGATGAAGTATTTAGAGGACATGATCCTGGGCAAGCTACAAGCAGATCTGTGTCAGCAGCAGATGTAGTCTTATATGGAGTGAACCTTATTCTGCCTTTAATGTCTCAAGATCTACTCAAAGTAAATACAGCTTAACACAGCCTTACAAATAGCTTAACACAGCCTTACAAATAGCAATCTTTCAAAGCCATTCGAAAGCTTTTAGCTCATGACTCCAGATGCTACCAACCCAATAAAACCTCTCTCAAGCCTTCATCTCTGCCCTTCCTGAAGAACAGGGCAGTTCTGACAATAGCTGCCAGTAACCCTTCTGCCTGCTGCGTTCTGTGACATTAGAGTACCTTGGCCACATAAACTTTATTATCATTGCGCCACAGTCCTTTATTTCCATTATGTGTTGCTTGTTAAGTTTTGTAACTTTTCAGAAATCTCTTTGAATTTCAAATCAGATCGGTTTTAACTATAAACCTCTCCCATGCTTTAAGATATGTCAGTGACTCTGCTCAGAGTACTTTTGTTTTCAGATAAGAGTTTAGCTTTTTCAGTGGTAGCTCAAACATAATGGATTACTGGGGTGGGAATCCTAGCTTTGCCTCTTTCTACTTTATTCTACTGGGCTTTTGGAAATGAGTCTCCTTTTAACCAAGACTGGAGACTTATCTGCTGTTATCTCTGTTTCTGATTTGGTTTAACAAGCTGTTTATTTTTATATTAATTTTATGAATGGCTGTTTAAAAGCCATATACAAATAATGTAAGTAATTTAATTTTGATTTTTAAACTGTAGTTTTGAAAATAATGTTCTTAAAGACACTTTGGTATTCTTAATTAGCACTTCAGTACTGACACAGAGTTTAGGGCTTATGTATGAATTAAAGATGCTGAAATATATAGAAAACAGTAATAATTTAATTTTGCGTAGCCTCCATTTTCATTCCATTTGGAGGAATAAATTTGAAAGGCCTAAGACTTACTTGCATTTTTCCTTTACAGTTTCCATCACTCTGTAATCAGTACTACAAACTAATTACATTTATCTGTGAAATATTCCCTGAGAAGATTCCACAGCTTCCAGAAGACTTGTTTAAAAGCCTTATGTATTCATTAGAATTAGGGATGACATCGTATCCTTTATTATTTAACTTGCATGTGTTGGTTTTTACTTGTGAAGATGCTGAGTAGTCTAAGGGCTTCCTTATCCCTTATTAAACATTTCTGTACATGACTTATAGCCAAACTCACATTAATATGTTGGTATCCACAATTGCCTTATCATTAAATTTTGCAGATAATCTCATATAGTCTTCATTTGGCAGATCCTGAATTAGTTTTTGGAGACTCACCTGGTGGTGTTTTTCTGTCAAGTTGCCAATAAGTGGCTAACCTAGATGAGCAACAGGCTTGTGTGATAAATCTGATAGCTCTATTGTACCGCAAGACTACATGTTTCTTTGTTTGTTTTCCCATAATAAAACACTCAGTTTACTTACCACAGTGGCACATTGTGGGGGGGAGAGTGTTTTAACCTAGGCTTCTTCTTGGCATGCTAACTTTCTTTGGGTTTGAGTCCAGTGGCTCCTTTAAGACCCAACAAAGGTGTAAGCTTTCATGTGCAAGCACACTTCTTCAGATACAGTGTGATCTATCTGAATAAGGATGCTTGTACACAAAAGCTTATACCTTGAATAAAATTTTGTTGGTCTTAAGGGTGCCACTGGACTCAGACTTTATTCTGCTGCTTCAAACCGACACGGCTACCCACCTGAATCTTTCTTTGGGTTTGTTTGGTTTTGTTGGAAGACTTCAAATGCCCCCTGTCTGAAGCAGTATGGTAGAGTCGTCATTTGGGCCTGCTGCTTCTGTGTGTTAGTTCTAAACTCCCATGTTTTCTATAAACTATCTCTGTGAAATAATGAGAGACCTGTTTGGGAAAAGTCACAGAAGAAAAGCAACGGAAATTTCAACAGCCTTCTGTCTAGCAAACAAACAATCCCCTTATAAGTTTTCTTGTTAATATTTTCACTGTGGCACTTTGGAAATTACGGTTGAACAATGTGACTCTGTTTCCAAAAGGGGGAAAAAATATTCCTTTAACATTTGTTAATCAGAATGAGTTCAGACGTTTGCCAGCTCTGTTTAGAAGCTTTGACGCCATTAGCTGAACAGTGTGCAAAAGCACAGGAGACGGACTCCTCCCTCTTTTTAGCAACAAGGCACTTTCTTAAGGTAAGAATGTTCTGTATCTTACCATCTTATAAGCTGTCTTCATTATTGAGGTTCTTTATCACAACCCAGCTCCAATACCTAGTCTGCATTGGACAATGACTGTTCAGAATAAGGTCACATCATCTTCTATAAATTGTGGCTTCCTGAGTGTATGTTGCATTGCATCCCATTAATGCTAATGCTGATTAAGAATAACAAGAGATATCTAGTCCATGTAAAAAAATTTACATCTGGATGTTCAGTGCTGTGGTCAGGCATCTTGTAATTTTAAATAAAACATTTTATGGTGCGTATTTTACAAATCTAAATCACTGAGGAAGGACGCGTGGCCAGAACACATTTGGTTTGGATTACATGTATTCTGTGTTGCTCTTAATTGTCATAAGAACATAAGATGAGCCCTGCTGGATCAGGCCAATAGTCCATCTAGTCCAGCATCCTGTCTCATAGGAAAGATGCTTATGGCCTCCCCATGGGTACAAATGCAATTTTAATAAAAAGGTTTTTTTATACTAGGGGAAGGTACAAAAAACGATGTATTTTGATGCACAGTTTTTAATATTTGTAATTTGATTAAAGTTTTTGGAATATACTTTTTGTAATTGGCATCTGTATTGCCATATATAAGGTTTTTTCCCCTTTTTTAAAAAACCTTTTTATTTAGCTAGGCATACAGCAAGGACGTTTGCTCTCCCCTTGACGTGTTAGTCTCCTGCCAACCTAGCAGTTCAAAAGCAAGAAATTGCAAGTAGATAAATAGGTACCAATTTGGTGGGAAGATAACAGCGTTCCGTGTGCCTGGGCGTTTAGTCATGCCGGCCACATGACCACGGAAACGTCTTCGGACAGCGCTGGCTCTTCGGCTTTGAAATGGAGATGAGCACCGCAACCCTAGAGTCGGATTCAACTGGCTTTCGAGCATGGGAACCTTTACCTTTATCTTTACTGATGTGTTAGTGTCAGGTGATCTCCTTGTAGTGCTAAGTGCCCTCTCTGTGCCTTTCCCACCACCCAAATGCTACTCTATGCCCTTTAGGTGTGCATGTCAGGGACCTTAGGGGACAGAATCACATGCTGCCAAACCCTATCATCTGACCCACAGGGGTCCTGGCAGAGGGTTATGTAGTGCTTGAGAGGGCAGTGATTGGGTAAGGGGGTGCCACAAGTGCCTGTGCATGCAGTCAGCATCTTGAGCTATACCATGGCTTGTGGGTGTGACCTTGGGTGGGGGGGGGGGGGC